ATTTTTATCGTTTTACTTTATTTTTTTTTATTTTCTTTCTATTTTTTAAATTATAACGTAAGTAAACTGTATTTATTTCATTTTATAATTTCATCGTTAATATAAGTTTCTTTTTATTTTTTTTTTATTTATTTTTTTAATTTTTTAACTTTTTTTTAATTTTAATTTTATTTTATTTCATTCAGGTTTTCGTCAAAAAAGTTCTTTTTTTTTCACTTTTTTCATTTTTTAATTTTTTTTATTTTTTTTTTTAGTTTAATTTATTTCTATTTATTTTCATGCAGGTTTTTTCGACCGCATCGGATGCTGCGTCAGATAAATAAGTGATTTTATTCATTTTCGTTTTCGTCATTTTTTCCAGTTTTTTTTTTTTTTAACTTCAAACCGAAGTGATCAAACTGAAAAGCAAAAATAACCATTCAATTAGAAGATCAAGTTAAACACATTCACTATTTTTATTTTTTTAATTCTTTTATAAAAAACGAAGCAAATAGAAAAGGAACTTCCACCTTTACGAGTTACCTATATAATTATTCTATTTTGAAGCTAAGAGGCGAACTTTATCAATCACTCTGTGATCAACGTTGTTTGCAGAATGTTTTTGTCCTCTCACACATGAGTATTATTACAGTATTCGTGGTAAATATGATTGTAATCAATTAATACATATCAAGATTTGTGTATTTATGAGTTATAATTATAATCCTGAAGTTATAGATAAGCTTAATGATGTTGTTACACGCGTTAGGCTGATCATTTTTGATTCTTTCAAAAATAAGCTATTTATCCTCGGATATAAATTTATTTATATTCCGCAAAAAAAATTTAAATTTACATTTGTAGTTATTAATTACTTTTTTTCTGTAAACGACGAAACAAAAAGATCAGTTTTATTTATTGCTGAAGTTACAATCAAAGGTGCACCCATGCTAACAGTATGAAGGGAGGCTAATCTGAACAAGGGGACGTCGAATAAGTATTGCCATCATCGTCAATAGAATGATTAGAAGGTACGACTTGGTCGTACATGTTCTGCGGTGATCCAAATCAGATGAATGTAAAATAAAGTATTCTTCATGAAAGAAAAGTCTTTTTTTTTTCCTTATCGTAAAGTCAGGATACCAGTGAGACAAATTACTTAAACCATTTCGGCATCCTAATTCTTTTTTGATTGCTACTTTAATCTTCCAAAAACAAAAAATCGAGACATTCAACATTTAAGAAAGACACAAGTAGGGTTGGATCGGTCCGGTCCGGTCCGGTCCAAAAAGACCGTTCTTTCATCTTCTTTTGGACCGGACCGGTCCATAAGTCAATCCAAGGACCGGTCCTAAGACCGGTCTTTTACCTACCAGTCCGGTCCGGTCAAAAATTGTTTTCTTACCAGACCGATTTATAAGATTATTCCAAGGATCGGGTTAAACATATTAGAAAAAAATATACATATAAAATTATCAATTTAATATAAAGTTAATAAATAAAAAAGTATAATAATAAAATCATTGCATACGAAACGATTACTGCGCCTTATTGATCTCACTTATTTCTCCATTTACGATTTTTCATTTCGGGCAGTATCGTTACAGTAAAATATTAGGACAGGTCTAAGGACTGACTTATGGGCGGTTCATTCCATAAGAGAGTTGAAAACCGGGTCGATCCAACTCTTTTTAATATTTTATAAATAAAATTAACATTAATATGCTATAAATAGTATAGGACCGGTCCTCAGAATATGGACCGAGGACCGCAAGGACCCATTAGTCTAAGACCGGTCTTACCAGGACCGATCCATCCCTAGTCACAAGCCAATCTTGTCAAATTTACGGATTGCATAATCGGAATTGCAGATCTCGAAACATGTACTGCAGTCGATCTTTCTTGGAACATTATGTAGCTTAAATGCGAAATGCGCAATGAATGACATCTGAGTTAAAGGCATTACCATTTGACAATAGAAATAAATTTAATGTTCTTGTCATATTTAAATTGCAAAATGTTTTTAAATACTGTACAATTCATTTAGAGGTCTGAAATTCAACGTAATCATAAGTCCAAGTCACAAGACCTGACAGTAAAGACTTAGATGTATTTTTTTTTTAATTACTATTACTAAAAACCGTGCGACTTTAGATTTAATTTAAATTTTCAGATATTTCTTAGCTACTTTAATATCAAAGGAAACCTTCGAATTTAATATTAAGAGCCATTTCGTCAAAAAAATGTACTCCGACAATATCCGCAGAAATTGTTATTTCGATTTAAATTTTAATAAAACCATAACTAAATTTCTATATAAAAATATTTGCGAAATGAATTTTAAAGCAAAGAAATTGTTGTCATTGGAAAAAGTTTTATCATTAAATGTCAATGTGGAAAGTAATGCACAAATACACTTTTGCTTGACCAAGAATTTTTTAAGCAAATCCAAATATATTATTTTGGCTGGTTAAACTTTAAATAAAATTTGGCCAATCAAAAAGTGTGACAACAAAGTTTACAGTTAAAAAACTATTTAATGTCTTTTGTTATTTGTCTCTTGCTTTTCTTCTCTAATTTCCACCATTTAAGTAAAATTGTTTATCTCTCAAAATCTCATTTTGAAAAAAATTTCAGATTTTTAATTTTCGAACTTAGAAAGATGTTTAAATATAAATACTTTTTTCAAATATAGGTTAGGTTACATAAAATAATTGCGTATTTAAACAAGCAACTTTATTTTTTCGTGGTAAAACTATTCATAAGAAAAGGAGTTAACATTACACTTTAATAGAATTAAAAATTTAAAAGATGTGAAAAAAATTATAATTTTATATGATATAAAATTCCAATTATATTTAAAAACTAAATTTAAAATGTTTTTTTTAAAGAGATACAGTGGAATATCAAAAAGTTACCAGGCACTTAAAAATTAAAAAATCAACAAAAGTTGCTATTTCAAATTAAACTTTTTATTTTATTATTTAAATCACCTTTGATGCAATAATTTAAGTTATACATCTTAACGAAATGCATATATATTAAATTTTTATAAATATCCAATTGGTGATAAATTTTAATTCTGTATTTTATGTAAAATTTTCGTGTATTAATATAAGTTTTCAGTTATAATTAAACATAAAATTTTTAAGTAGTAATCTATTTTTATTTATTAATTAAACTTATTCTTCATATTGATAAATTTATATCCTTAAAATTTCATACAAATTACATTTATATTTGTGAAGATTGTTGAATTGATAAAGTTTAAATTTTCTAAAAAGATTAACATTTCACGTGACTTGTAACTGTATTTATTTGATCTCCACATGTATAAATGTCAAATAATTAAAACTTATTTAAAAAAAATATATTTTGAAATACAATAAACGAAATAAACGAATTAAATTATTGAAATATAAAAGATTATTGCTAAAAAATTCAATATTTTATTATAACTAAATTCTTATATATATGAAAATGTTGTATTAAATATATATTATAAATTTTACTGCTAATCAGATATCTATAAAACTTAAATGTATATGTATTTTATTATGATACACATTTTTACTTATTTCATAAAATTTGATTTAATTAATAAGATAAATAGTTTAATTAATTTATAAGAACTTTTTCTATCAATTTTCTAATTTTAAGTACCTGGTGAATTTTGATACTTCACTGTATATTTCTTATATGAGCACTTTTAATTTTTTTTAAAATATACATTTAATTGTAATTTATCAAATAAACCTTTAAACTTGCAGAAAATTAGTTATCAATTGCAATAAATTGAAAATATAATTTATTTTGATTCTCTTGCATGAATGAATTTTATATATTACATATAACTTCTATTTATAATAATTCAGCTAAAAATAAAATAACATGCTAAATATAAATATTTGACATAAAGTAGTAAAGAAAGATTTTTATAAATTGTCTGAAGTAATTCAGATAGTCAAAAAAGTCTTTGAATCTCAATTTTAGAAACCAGAAAATTATCTTAATTCTAACTTCAGAAAAATTAATTTCAGTCAGTTACATCATTATCAAATTCTTTATATGCTAAGTTTGCTTTTTTAAACTAAAATATAGCTATTTGCCTAAAATAACACATATTAAAAAATATATTTATATATTTTGATTTTGATTTTTTAGCATTAAAAAATCTTTTCATTATATAGAAGGTTTACTATTAAATCATAGTAAAAATCCATATAATAGCAAACTTCCTATATGGGTTAATTGCTAGAAAAATTAGATTTCAGAATTTTTTAACATAATTGAGATTTTTATTGTATTTAATTTTTGATATTCTTATATTAAAATGCATTAAGCTCTTAATTTTAATCAAAAAGTTCTTAGAATCCTAGAAATCCTCCTATATATTCATATGAATAATGAATATATAAAGATTTCTAATAATTATCTACCATCAATTACTTTAAGATTTAATGTATATATTTATGTTACAATTGAAATCTCATTTAAATTAATTTCTATAGAAAGAATCATAATCAATAATTTTTATTATAACACATGTATTTAATGCCTTATCATTATTAAAGAAAATCACAGTTTATTATATGAAATTATGGAAAGTTAAATGTCAAAATAAAATTATTCTTAGAAAATATAAATTGAAAACTGTAGAGTTAAGAAAATAAGAGAAAAAATAAAATAAAATAAAATAAGAAAGATATTAAGAAAATTTTATTAAAATTCTTTTTCTTTGCAAACTATTGTTTGTTATAATATTACTGCGGAAAAGTTTTGTACTATACATTTGTTGATTATACGAGTTAATTTGCTAATTTTTATTTTGTTTATTATTTACTCACAAAGCCTTAAGACGTGCAGAATTTTATGAATGTATTAAATAAACATATCTATTCAGAATTTCTACAGATTACATGTTGAAAAGTTATGAATTGTATGTAGCTAATTTTTTGAAAAAATAAAATATATATAAAAAAGTTTGAGTCAAGACCTGAATTCGAAATTTTACAGCAAGGTTATAAATACCATTCAATAATTTCAAATTTAATAATACCCAACTTTCGAAATTTTTTAATTACTCTCCTATTGGTCCTTTGAATATCGGCAATTCCAATAATAATCAAAGAAAGTGGATATTGTGATGTACGGTTCGCCCATCTTCTAAATACGGTCTTTAATGTTATTCGAAAAAAATCCAATCCCATACTTTCCATTTTTAATTCGTGAAAATTTTTAGGTGAATGATCAACGATCATTTCTAATAATTTGCCTGCATTTAAATACTCGCCACCACACCAAAGGTAAATGCTTTCCAATTGTTCACAACTGTCTAAAATTAATCTCAATGTTTCTGCTTCATCATCTTTAATGAGAGTACGTAATGATTTCATATTTGGACAAAATTTGGCTATAGCCAAATTTAATGAATTGTCATTGGTATTATTAAGATCAAGTTCCCATAAATTCTTCCCACAATTCTCCATGAATTTAAATAAAGGTTCATTAGGTAAAACTTCATAACCAAATTTTAAGCTTTTCAAGTTTGGAAGGGTAATGTATCCAATTCTACAAAAGTTTCGATACGACTTGATAAGAAAATTTCTCGTAAATTTGAGAGTTTAGAAATAAATGACAATGGGATATAAATACTTCCATCCATGCGTAATTTGATTAAAGTATCATTAAGGCTTTTTAATGGAGGAGGTACTCTCCACGAATCATAATCTTCAAACAATACGTACAAGTATGTTAAATTTTTCTGAACCGAAATCAGGTCTGTTAACCCATTTGAGATCACTTTTTCAAATGTTAGGTTCAGTGATTCTAAATTATGGCAGATTTGTGACATCTGATAGAAAATTTCTGAATCGATATTCGAACTACAGCCAAATTCCGAAAGGTTCCTTAAACAATCTATTGCTCCAGGGTATGTGATGATCGGTATGTTTGGAATGATTAAGCTAGAATAAAGTTCTAGCTTTTTCAAAGTAATCTGACCCATGAACATTTTAAATATTTCTCGTGTTACTACGAAATTCTTATTATCGTTGGGTTGTTGATCTTTAAGAAAGTTGAGAATTTTACCGATCGATAGACTTTTGATGAAAGTTATATAATTAAATAATGGAGGTTTTGAAGTTATGATAATACCATTCTTGCATAAGTTTTCTTTAGATTCTTCAGGAAGACAAGAAATTAAAATGTTATAATTTTGAATATTTCTCCATAAAATTCGAACGGTTACCTCACACCATTGACGATTTACTAGTAAGCATGAACGTAAATCCGTTTCATCTTTCAAATATTCAAAAATTTCATTTAAACAGTCAGATGGGAGTTGACGAGGCATTTTTTATATAGCTATCTCAAAAAAAAAAATATTTATGTTTAAAAGTTATAAAAGCGAGAATTTTTTTTTTAAAAAGAAAATTTTAATTTGTGTTACATTATTTCATGTTACATTGCATAATTCAAAAATTATAATTTACGCTTTCAGTTTAGCCGATTTGACGTAGGAAATGAGACCAAAAAAACCCAGTTTCTTGTTCGACACCCGAAATGAAGTAAAAAAAAAAATTAACGATAAGTTTCTACACCAATAAAGGATGAATTCCCAAATATTATTAGAAATTACATGATCTTGTAGAAAGTCCAAAAAATTTTATTATGGTAAATAAATCTTTATTAATAAAATATTTTTAACGTCCAATTTGTGATCATAAAAAATCGCTAAAATTAAATGAGTGAAATTCGAGAATTTATTAATCACAATTAATCGGTTCCACTTATTTGAATCGATTCCTATATCGTACTTCAAGTTCAAAATGAACCCAAATAATAATGATTATTATAATTAAAAGAAATGCTTGACCCATTCGGTCCTTCAAATTTACGACAATGCGAAGATTTTTATATGGGCGCAGTACAAAGAGATGATTCTTTTTTTGTTTAATGTTAATCTGGACTTTATTTTTATTTTATAGTTTTCTCCATTTATATTACATCTTCCTCATTTACACCACAAAAAATTACTTCACGTGACTTTTGGTCGGCCATAAAACATTCACTACCACGTGATTATACTAAAATACTCATCACACTACATCACACCTTTCCTTTCTTTCATTTTTTATAAGTATTATGGGAACTTAGTTTTTTTACACTACGCAAAAATCAAAAAATTCGACACGATCTCGTTCTTCCATGATAATTCTAGCACGTTTTTTTGCAATCTTCTCAAATCCAGTCAGCTGAGTGAAGGTCGCTTTATTAATATCTGGTGGTCCCATGGCATAATTATAACATCTTCCAGCAAAAGGACCGAAATATTCTTTCCAGTTTTCTTTATTAACGATTGCAGACATTGGTTGGAGTTCAAGATTCTGGCAGAATGCTGAGGTGTAAAAGATGAAAATATCTCCTGAACTAGTTGCTTTGTTATATTCTTCTTCAAAAATTTTTGAGAAATGCTTTGTTCTCTCAATAATTTGCACTGATGTGCCTCCGTTTGTAATTGTTTAGTCTCTGCCATATATATTGAACAAAAGCTATCTCCAAACTTAGCAGCAGATGCATTGATTATAATATGACTCGCATTTGTAGATCGACTCGTCCTTTCTGACACAATATATTTGCATTTTGATTCCTATAACCTTTAGACTTGGTGCTAACTCTTTCAACTGATTTTGATAATGTAAGTTGTCGATTCGATATGAAAACTTAGCCAAAGTTATGAGTGGCAATCCGCTGATCATAATTATAGATATTCGATTTAAATTGAGCGACAAAATACTCAAAATGTTGCCAGTATTGGCAATCAGGTGGAATACTAGGCTCTCCCGATTCACTGAGTACTTCATTGTAGTAGGCACAATCCCAACTTCTTAACAATGGATCATTTATATTTTCGTGGTATGCATGAGCCATGATCCATAGCCAAATGTACGGACATAATAGATAACCAACAACACGGTCAGGATCGGAACTCTCAAATCGAACTAGTCCAAACTGTATTACGTCATCTACATTTATTTTTTGTCCATCAAGTTCAAAGATGGTTTGGTCTTTGTTAACAGATCTATGTGCCAGAATAGTGCGGAGGATAGGTCTTAAATAAGCTGTTTTGGTCAACCAACCCGAATAATAATATGTAAGATTCAATCACATATTATTTATTAGATCAATATAATTGACTTTGTTCATATTTTTATCCACAACTGCTTCTCCCAAAGCCTCTAAAGCACGTCCATGACCTCAGTGATGTTAAATGACATTGTCATTTGATTATTTTTCAAATGACTTAAAATAACATTGAAATGACACAAGAATTCATGTCATTTAAAAAAACTGTCATTTGCAAATGACAAATGACAAAATGATATATGTCATCTCTAAATGATAATGTCATTAATATTGTCATTCGCGGTTAATAATTTATTTTTGTAATAATTACATAATTCACATGTTGATCGAAACTCCAAAAAGCAATCCTAAAATTGATGATATCCAAAAATAGTTTAACAATTATCACGATGTTTATTTAATTAGAAATCTTAATATGCTAATGACATCATTCCAATCAGAAGGTTACCATTATTTGTTTTATTTGTTTGTTAAATCTAAAGATTTATCGATCTTTTTTTTTTGCTTTTCGTTCATCATATTTCTAATTTTATAAAATTAAAATAATAAAAATGGGCAAAGAGAAGCATAATTTTCGTGAATTTTTTTACTTATGTACACCAGATAACCCTAAATCTAATAAAAAAGCAGTATGTCTTTCATGTATAAGAAAGCATACTTTACCACTTGCTATTTCTAAACCTGAATGTTATGTATCTAATAAAGCATTATTATGCCGTAATCACTTGAAAAAATGTGAAAATTTTGCTTTGGAATATCATGAGAGTGAAAAACAAGAAATTTTATCACGTGAAGTACCTGAAGATGAGAAAAAAAATAAAGAAACACAAATACTAGTAGTTAATGAAAGTAATACAGAAACTATACCGCACCATCCACTTCTATTATTAAACAAACAAATTTATCAGGATATGTATCACGGCCAATATCCAAGAAGGATAATCTTCATTTTGAAAATCTCATATTATTGATGATGGCATCAAATGGTTTATCATTCACCTTTTTGGAAATAAAGAGACGCAAGAAGTTTTTAGATTTATTGCTCCTGCATTAAAGCTTCCAGGATGTCATGCTATTAGTAATCGTATTCTTTCCAAATCTGCAAAACAATTAGCTGAATCAATCATAGAGCAAGCAAAAGCTGATATAAATAGTGTTGCTGCAGCTTTCAATAGATGGACAAATATTAAACAAGAATATTTTTTTGGAGTTTTATTCATCACTTTATCTGAGAAAACATTAATTTGGAGAGCTAAAGATATTAATGATCAATGATCTAAAACTGAAGATGCTAAAAAGTTAATTAAAAATTTGATGAATAGTGCTGAATCAAAACAAATAAAAATTAATTTCTATATTTCTGATTCTTCTGAAGAATATGCTGCAGCAAGGTAAGTTATTTTTATTTTATTTATATGGTTTATTGGTTATTAACAAATATTTTTTTTTTTACTTTTTATTTTTTTAGACGCCAATTAAGAATAGAATATTAAAATAAGGTATTTTTACCTTGTATGGTCCATCAGATGAATTTGGTTATAGGAGATATTTTTAAAGAATCGCTTCAATACAAGTAAAATCATAAAATGCAGTTCGTATTGTAAGCTATTTTCACTCTTCTTCATATTTCACAGGATTGTTAAGAAATGAACAAAAATCATGTTATAGCCAAACTATAGCATTAATAACTCCAGGCGAAACCCGTTAGAACAGTTTTTATTATTATTTTCATAGTATCTTAAAACAGAATTAGCATTAAAGATAAAATATCTAACACATTACTTGAATTATACGAATAATATGCATTTTTAACTAATTTTTATTTTAAACATTAATTACAAAATGTTTACTTGAACGTATTGGAACTCCAAGTACTTCTCAAACTGGAGTATCTCGTCAATACTACAGAACCAATACAACTAATGAAAATAAATGTCTTCCACCAGATATAATTGAAATTATTAATAGTGTAGAATTTTGGCTTCAATTATTTGAACTTCAAGATTTATTGTTTCTGATATGTAGTGTATTAAACAGATTATAAAAAGATGTTGCACATTTATATGAAATTACACATTGTTTTGGTTGATAATTAAAATGTTTTCTTCTCATAAGGATGAAGAATTTAGGAATTACATGGTAAAAAAATTGGAATTGCATTAGGCATAGTGGAAATAACCATTACTATTACTTTCAATTATACTCCACCCAAAATATCAAATTTTAAAATTTAATTCTTCTGTCAGAAAAATCTCTTATACACATTTTGGGTAATGGATTGTATATTACTATCAAGTATGGTTTATTGGAATACTAAAAAGTACTAAAATGGTTGAAAATTGGATTGAAATGGTTAATACAGAAAACAATTTAAATAATAATGAAGTGTAAATTGAAAAAACTAATAATTTTGAGGTAGGCAAACATGATATTTATCAAGCAGATAATCCATTAGCTAAATGGAATTTACTTGGTTTGTTTAATGAGGCTTTAGAAGCTCCAATTTATATTGTTCAGTGATAAATTTTGTTTAAATAAAGGATTTTTACATTTTATAATAAATAATACTAAGCATTATTAATATGTATAAAATTAATTAATTCTGGCTAAAATTACAAGTCACATGATATAATTTCAAATGACAAATCTTGCTTGTTATTTGCTTTCTGATATGATATAATGATACGTGACATATTATTAGTATCATTTGTATCTTTTCATATCACTTCACAATACTACATGATCTACCATATCATCTATAAACATATTCATTATTGAACTATCATTAAAAACTAGGATGTTATCTATTTTTAGGATTATAATGATGTAACTGGTAGAAAAATTCTCTTTTGTTGTGAACTGACAAGGGAATCATAAATAAGTATGCTAATGGTGGCTGTATAACAGATAATAACAAATAAACCAGTAAGTAAAGAATGTCAAATGTAAAGATGTAATCGTAAAAAAATAATTATTGCTTTTGTTTTTCCATCTTTAATATCATCCATTGCTACTTGTAAACCATCTAGAATAATTATTACATTCAGATCCTTAATTTCTTGAGTGCGATATTTAGCAATTCTACACAATACATATTCTGGTATTACATCATATTGATTCTTAAAATTATTCTAAGAATCATTAGGCTGTTTCATTAATTGAAAGAGCATTCAATTACAAATTACTTTAAAGCTCATAATTTCATCTTCCCAAATTAGTTTAGTCCCATCTTCAAATGATAAATTAAATATAAAAACATCTATAAGGCAGTTTTGTAAGTCAGCATTGCTATTAGTATATTTAATTAATAACCTTAGACATTCTTGCGCAGTGTAAGATTTACCTTCTCCAGCTTCTGCTAAAATTAAATATTCTGGTATTTTTGTTTTTTCACATTGTCTAGCTTTCTAAAATTTGTAATGATCATGAATTGCTTTCTTAAGTTTTTCTCTCAAAGCAATTGAGGCTTGAAAGTTTCAAATGGAATCACTATCTATGAGAAGAGAATAAGGATTACAAAATTCTAATTGATCAGGCAGCTTTTGTGCTTTTAAAAAAAAATGACATTAGGCTAAAAATTTATATAATAAACATAATTTTATTTGAAAGGTTAATTACTTACTAATGATAGTGATAATGTGAATATTACTCACTATAAATTTTACTTGATTATCTAATTCAACTTGAAAATATTCAATAAATAATTTTTGAAGTTTCATTTCACTTTCTTTAAAATCTTTTACAATATCATCTTTAGTTAATACATTTTTATCTTTAATCATTTTTTCATTGAAATTAACTTTTTAAAGTTTTATATCATCAGAATTATCAACTTTTTTCTTCTTACAGATATAATCCTAAGGAGAACAACTGTTAATACATTTAAATTGATTATTTGTTGACCAAATATTACAAATCTTTCATCTTTATCTTTGAAAATGATAACCAGAAAAAGGAAAGTATTGTTAATGTTTCTTATAAGTAAACAATTGAATGACTTTTCTATTTCAATAATATTACTATAAAATGATAAAATAAGTTTGAGTTTTTAAAAGTAGTTTTAAGAACACTTTTAAGAAAGTTTGAGATCATATAAATACTGAACAACCTTTTTAAATATACTGTGATTAATAATAATAAGATAGACTCTTGATAAACTCTTGATTGGTGGCTTTTTATGATAAAATACAGCAAAAAATTAAGTATAGTAAAAAAATATTTCATTAAATTTATACAAAAAAAAATAGTTTACAGCAAAAAAAATTTTAAACATTAATTAGAATTGTACAATAGAAAAATGATGACTCCAAAAACAAAATAATTAAAAATCTTATAAATGTTGAGATACCAATTACACAAATACCATACCATTCTAAAATTAAGCAACCCTATAGGATTGCTTAATTTCAGGTACTTTTTATTTTGTAGAAAAAGAAAACAAAAAAATTGCGTATTTACTGTAAATGTATTATTCATAATAAATATTTTATCATCACATTATATCTGTATAACGTAGTGCAATATCATGACCAATAAATTACAAATGATTAAGAAAAGGTAAAACTATATTAAAGCTTATAAAAATGCAATCACGAACTTGTTTTTAAACTTATTTTAAAACTTAATATGTCATCACAAAAGCAAAAAAAGGCAAATATCTATTAATAAAAAAACTCTCAAATGAAGTTGCAATTCATATTCTATTGAGCAAAAGAGACAAGTTATCACTTATGCTAAGGAAAATAGAATAATTAGAGCAGCAAATACTTTTGAATTTAATAAAAGCATAGTTAGTTGCTGGGTTAATTCAAATAAAAAATGGTTTAAAAAACTAAACCAAATTTTATTTATTATTATTTTTAATAATATTTGTTTTAAAAGTCCATTAAATTTACCCTATTTTATCAATTTCTTGCATAAAAGAAAATGGAATCCAAGAAAATCCATGATTTTTTTAAAATCTTCTAGAATTATATTATTTAGATTTTTATTATTTTCATTGGCTTTATTAATTTTCCAGGGATTATTACAGATAAATTATATAAGAATTTAATATATTCATTTTTCTTAAAATATGTTATTTTAACTAAAGTCACCTAGGAATATTCTGATGTAGGTATGATTAGTTCATTTTAAGTAACTAATTACTTCTTCTCTTTCTTACATTTCCTATGTATTATAAAAAATTATTTAAATTAAAGATTATTAAGTTCTCTAAAATAAAAGCAATTTGAAATTTATTATTATTAGCAAGAAAATTAAATAAGAGCATTGAAGTTGCTATTAAATATTAAATATAATTAACTAAAAGAATAAAAGAAAAAGTATATTTACTGTTATGGTAAACAACATAAAAGCTGAAATCAATAATAACAACAATGAAAATAACTGCAACAATACCAATTTCAATAATACCAGCTACTACATTAGTTATAACTACAATTTTACTAAAGTCAAGTACAATGTTTATTTAATAATATTGTCAATAGTGGTAGCAATTGCGATCAGAGTAGTATTTTACGAGTAAATATAAGTGGTACTTATGCTGTTTTTAGTGCAATCACTTCAGTAATTAATGAGTTTTCTTATGTTTTAATAAAATAGTTAACAGATTAAAAATTACACATATTGCTTGATTTTTTAAAGATTATAAAACATTTCCCTAATTTAATTATATTAACAAGTGAAATAATAAATAATAGAAACAATAATAAAAAGAAAATTTAGTCATATACCTGATTGCATTTTCATAACGAACTGACTAATATGAATCTAAAGAAATCATCTTAAAGAGAGAGAAAAAATAATTAAAAAATATAAAGAAAAAAATGGGAATTAAATAATCAAAAAAATGAGTAAAATAATAAACAATAGAAAAAATAATAAAAAAAGGGAATTAGTAATCCCAATCAATGCAAAAAAAGTAGCATTATTATAATAAGCTAAAAGATCTGTCTAAAGTATCACATCTATGTTCACTTGAAATAGTTAGAATCAGCCCTAATCTATAAAATTGAAAAAAAATAATTAAATAATCAAAAAATAAGTAAAATAATAAACAATATAAAAATAATAAAAAGGAAATTAGTAATCTCAATTAATGCAAAAAAGGATTAAATTGTCACGTACCTGACTGTATTACTATAATGAACTAACCAATCTGAACCTAAAAAATCACTCTAGAAGATAGAAAATAAATAAATAAAAATAATAATAAAAAAATAAAATAAATAATAAAAAAAGGGGGGGATTAATAATCCTAATCAATAGAAAAAAAAAGATTAAATCATCACATATCTGATTATATTACTATAATAAGCTTAAGGGTTTTATCTGAAATGTTACAGTTAAAAGGATAGAATCATTCTATATTTTTTATTTTTAATTAATTTATGTTTTTTTAATATATTTTTTTTTATTTATCCTCCCTTTTCTATATATTTTTTTTTATTATTAATTTCATTTTTACCTTTTAATTTGTTAATTTATTTTTTTATTTTTTTTTAGTTTTATTTTTAATTTCGTTCTTATTTAATTATTAATTTAAATTTTTTTTGTAATTTTTATTTATATTTTTTTATTTGTTTCCTCTCCTATTATTTTTTTTTATTTTTTTTAGTTTTATATTAATTTTTTTTTTTATCATTTTTAATTTCGTTCTTATTTAATTTTTAATTTAAATTTTTTTTGTAGTTTTTATTTATACATTTTTTTTATTCATCTCCTTACCTTTGTTATTTTTTTTTATTTTTATTTTATATTTTTATTCATCCTTCCCTCATTATTTTTTTTTTGAATTTTTTAGTTTTATATTAATTTATTTTTTATTATTTTTAATTTCGTTCTTATTTAATTAATTTAAATTTTTTTTTGTTTTTCTTTTTTTATTTATACATTTTTTTTATTCATTTCCAACCTCCCATTATTTTTTTAGTTTTCTTTATTTTTTAATTTTTTATTCATCCCCTCTCTCGTTATTTTTTTTCTTTTAGTTTTTATATATATTATTTTTTTATATATTTTTTATTTTTCTATTTAATTTATTTATTTTTGATTATTAATAATAATAATTGTAAGTATGTTACTGTAATGAGTTAAAGGGTATCACATCTAAAAAGGCAGAATTAGTTCTAATTAAAATCAAAAAAAAAGTCATTTGATTTTGATTTAATAATCAAAAATTAATAATCCATCTTATTGTACCGCTATGATAATTCAAAGTGGCTAATCTTTTGATCTAATCTATAAAATATAAACTGAAAAAAATAATAAAATTATTAATAATTATGAACTGATTTATTATTAATTAAATAAATAATTAACAATAGGAATAAATAATACATAATATTAGGAAAAAAATTAAAATAATTTAATTATGCACCTGATTGCTAAAGCTGTGACTCGTCAGAATTTTAGTATCTGAGTCATATTCAAATTAAAAAAAAGTTATCTGACTCCTTAACGAGTATTATCTATTTATATCTATTTACTCGTTTACAATATAATATAAGTAATATCCAAGTAGATCTAAATATAAAATAATATTTTATATAATTTTAAATACTAAAATATATTTAATAAACTAAGCTTACTATTTCACTATATACCTCAAATTTTTAGTAACCTAATTAAGTAAATTGATAAATTAGTAAAATTTATGGATAAAAAGAACATGATGAAAATAAATAATAATTTTAACTTTCTATAAAAAAGGTAAAAAATTATTTTATAAATTATTTTTTTTATAATTAAGAAATTAAACACTTTTAAGTAATTTTTTTTCATTAAAAAAAAAATATATAAAAGCCTGAGAAAATTATAAAATTTTGTCAAATTTTATTTATTTATTTGTAAAACGTAGTTCATTCTACTATGCATAACAATTTGGTTTAATTTGATTAGCTTATTTCATCAATTTTGACAAAATAATAATTTTAAATACTAAAGTTTATTGTATTAGAGTGTTACATTAAAACTAATTATCAAACTAACTTTTAGAAACTTTCACATAAAAAAATTCTTCAAATATTATTATAATAATATTAGATTTACAATTACAATAAAACAACCAAATAATTACATAACTAATTGATTAAATGTAAAATACATAGCAGTATATTTTACAATAAAAATAAATCTCTTTTCAAATATAAAAATAAACATCTTTTATAATAATAATTTCTAATTACTGTAAATTAAAAAGAATTATCTTATTCATATTCAGGTTAACTTTTATAAATATAAAATGAATACAAATTAGATATTACACATTTTTACCCATTTATTATTTTATAATTCAGATACTTAAATTATTCAGGTATACTTAAGTTGTATTTAAGTAAATAGATAATGGGTTGCAACTCTACTGATTGTGCCATCATAATGAATTGACCAATTTGAATTTTTTTCTAAAAAAAAATATTTAAACAACCTTTATTCTTTGAGGTAGAAATTCTTTCTCTACCTTATTCTCTACCTTACTCTTTATCTTTTAGTATTAGTTTTAGTATCAGTATTAGTATTAGTGTTAATATTAATATTAGTATAAGGTAAATAAAATAAGGTATATAATAATGGCCAGTCATTAGCATTACATAAATTGTTTAAAAAGAAGAATTTTTTAAGAAAAAAGAAATTTTTTTGTTGTTCAAAGGCCCAGAAATCCAGTTTATACTAATGAAATCACAATAAATTTTTTTTTTACTATAATATTGATTCTTTTTTATTATAGTATATTAATAAAATTTAAAATTTATAAATTAAAATATTAAAAATTTGAATA